CGTACTACGTATATATATATATATATATATATATATATATATATATATATATATATATTATTATCATATCTTTTAATAATTTAATTTTAATTATTTATATATATTACCCATCAACTATATTATTTTCATCCTAATTTCCCTATGTATTTAAATTTATCTTATTATTATTTTTATAAATTTTATTTAAAATTCATATGAATATTTTTTGATTAATAAAATTATTATATAAATATTGTTACTTCTTGATTGACAGTATTTATTATAAAACTCGATTAGTTGTTTGATTAATTTTAATTAATATTATTTTCTATTAATTAAAATGGAGTTTAATTATTATATAAAGGACTCTCTATTTTATTTTATTGACTTTATACTTTTAATTTTTTAATTTTTTATTTTCTTTTTTTATCTTTTATATTTTACCTTTTACTTTATCAATAACATTTTTAACAATTTATTTAGTAATTGACATTTTTTTATTTATAAATATATTTATTTTTATATATAAATATATAATTATATAATTATATAAATTAATAAAAAATTATATATAATAAAAATATTAATAATATTTTTAAAATAATATAATAATATTTTATATATTAATTATTTTTATTTTTAAAACAATTAATCATTTTCTAATTTTATTTATAAATTTAATACATATAAAAATTATATAAAAAAAAAAAACTATAGAATTATTATCATTTTTCTATGTAATTAATCAATTAAAAAATTAATATTAATAATTAAAAATTTAAATTTATCTATATTTTTTAAAATTAAACAAAAATAAATATTTTCATTAATAAATAATTAAAACTCTTTTATAAATTCCATATATAATTAAACAAAAGAAAAATTAATAAAAATATTTTTAAAAAAAGAACAAATTTTTTATATTGTTTAAACACACACTAGAAATAATAATTATTTCAAAAGTTATCTTTATAGAGGAGGTATATTGTTATGACATATATTACATTTCGATTATTCAATAATTAGAAATCATTTAAAAATTAATAGGTAAGTTATTTGATATATTATTAGAATAGAATTGATTTATAAATAATTTATATTTTTTTTATTAAATTAAATTAAATATTTTTTAAAAAAATATAAAAAAAATTATGAATTTTCTACATTTTTAATAAAAATTTACTTATTAATGAGGAATAAATTGATTTAATAAAGGATCTAATAAAAACATAAAACTAATTATAGAGTTTTAAATACAAAGAATAATTTAAATAATTTATAATAATAATATTGCGATTTATAATAAATGACTTAAATAAATAAAAGCTAATAAAAATTAAAATAGTAAAAGTATGAATAATGAAAATGACTCATTTAATAAAAATTTATATCATAAAAAAAAAATTAAATAATGTATATTTTATATTATAATAATATTATAAGCAATTAAAGAAATTTATAAATAATAATAAAATAACTCATAAAAAAAAAAATTATATAAATATAAATTATATATATTTTTACTTTTCTTATAATTTTTCTATAAATAATAAGAATAATTATAATACAAAAGGCTTAAATAATTAAAATCAATATATTTTTAAAATTATTATATAAAAATTATTAATATTTATTTAAAAATTATATATTTTATAAAAACAAAACTAATTTTATATTAAAAAAAAAATATATTTTTTTCTTTTTATAAATATTTAATAAATTTTCTATTTAATTCAAATATAAAAATATTTTTATAATTTAAAAATAATAAAATATTTTAATTTAATATTTTATTTAATGCATATAATAATTTGTATAAAATAAATAAATGAAAACTTATATCAACTTTTAAATATAAATATTCTTCATTACAGATTTAAAATTATTAATTTAAGTGTTTATAATAAATTTAAAAAAGTAAATTATTTTTTTTAATTAGATTTGTATTGTATATTAAATAAATAATTTTAAATAATATTTTTTTTATCTCAAAATCCTTAGGGTCTTTTGTAAAACTTTAAAAAAAAGATATACTTAGATTTTTTTTTTTTTTTACTTTTAAAACTTTTTTATTATCAATAAAGCACATAATATTTCCTTTTTTTTAAAAAAAAAATATTAAATAAATCCTTTTAAAAAAAAAAAACCTAAAGGATGAAAATCAATATCAATAACTTTATCATCACAGCAAATTTAATCAATATGAGAATTTTCACTAAAAATATTATAATATATTAATTAATATATATGTATAAATTAATTTTAATTATAGAAAATATTATAAATTATATAAAAATATAATTAATTAATATAATAGTTTTTTATACTGAACACTAAAATGTAAAATATTCCCTTAATTATCTCCTGTAACAAAAATATTAGAAAGCATAGGATTCCATTTAATGCAAGTAATTTCACTATAGCAACTAAATTCATTAGATGGTTTTTCTAATTTTCTTATATCAAATAATTTAACAGCATGATCTTTTCCACCTGTAATAAAATAGGTTCCATTTTAATGCCATTTACCAGTAGTTACAGGTTAATTATGTGAAGATCTAAAATTATAATAATTTAATAATATAATTAAAAAGAATATACATTTCTGCTAAACTTTCAAAAACACGGGGATCCCAAAGTCTAATTTTATAACTATCATCTGTACTTAAAATAAGTGCTTTTTAAGGATTCCAATCACATGAAGTAATTTCTCTTGAAACATCTAATAAAAAAAATATTATATGTAAATATATTATATTATATTATAAATATATATAAATATATATATATATATATATATATATATATATTTATATATATATATATATATATACTTTCTAAATCTATTTCTTTTTTTGCTGAATCAACATCTAATATATGTAATTCTTTTTCTCCAGCAATAACTATCTTTTTATCATTTGGACTAGGACTTAATTTTAATATAATAAAAATATTATATATTTATATTTATATATATATTTGACGATAAATCAATTAAATTTTCAATATTTGTTTCAATACAACATTTAGTTAATTCAGTGTACAATTATTTATCTTCAGTTTTCAAATCCCTTACATTATTTAAAATACAATCTAATAAATAAATATCTCCACTTTTATCACCTACAATTAAGTTTTTTCCATTATTCATTAATTTTATACATCCTAATCCTTTTAACTTAAATATTTTTTTTTTTTTAAAAAAAAAATTAATATATAAATTTTTATTTACATTTTAATATATACTTCACTAAAAAATCTCTATCTTTATTATGGTTTATAGAAATTAACTATATTTATATCTCCTTTATGTTTAGATCCGGTTTCTAAATTTTAATTATGGCTTGTTTTTGTATATCCAACAGCAATACTTTTACCATTATTTAACCACTATAAAATATTTTTTTTAATAAAAAGTATTTATATATATAAATAATTATAAATATATTTAAATATAAAAAAAATTAGTATATAAAAAAATTAGTATATAAAAATATATAAATATATATATATATATTCATATTTATATATATATATATATTACTAAAACACTACTTAATTACATTGTATTATCACTTTTTTATATTTCGAAAAGTTTTTAATTACAAATAGCTTATTATTCTATATCAAATTAATTTTACAAACAATTATCTTTCTATTTTTTATTTTATTTTTAACTTAATTTATTTTTGCTTTTTATTTTTACTGTTTCTTGATTATTTTAATATTAAATTAAGTTAAATTCTTCATCATTTGTATTATTTTTATTCTTTATTTTTATTTTTAATTTAAATGATTATGTTTATTATATATTTTTTATTTTTACAAACAAATAAGAAATTATGGATTTATTTATACTTTTTTAAAATTCTTAAGCATAATTTAAATTTTCATCATTAAAATATTAGTTGCCACTTATTTATTTTTTCTAATTATCTTTCAAAGCTTGACCAAATGATTTCATTTAATATATTTAATAATATTAATTTAATAAAAAAAAGATATATAATAAAGAAAGCTATAAAAAATATTATAAAATAATTAATATTATAAAATATAAAAAAAAAAAAAAATAATTAAAAAAATTTTTAAATATTAAAATAATTGTATTTAATATATAAAAATATTAAAAATATTAATAAAAATACTTCAAATTAATATAATTATTATTTAATAACTAATTAAAACAAAAATATTTAAAATATTATTAAAAATTTTAAACAAAATAAATAAAAAAACATAAATAATCAAAATAAATAAATAATATAAAAAAATATTTAGAATTATTAATATAAATAAATATATATAAATACATAAAAATAGAAATAAGCATATATTATACATAAAAATATATATATATTTTATGTAAATATATATATATATATATATATATATATATATATATATATATATATATATATATTAAATACATATTTAACATACAAAACATGATAAAAATCCTTTCAGAAAATTAAAAAAAAGGATATAAAGGCTAAACTATGAATTTTCCAAGTATTTAATAATAGTTTGACATATTTGAAAAGCACTTAATTCCAATTTAATATTAATAAAAATATCCTTTTACGACTTTTGGTTATATTTTTAATGATTAAACAAACGAAATTATAACAATTTCATGTTTTATAAGTCCTAATAAATTAATAGGAAATACTCATAGTTTATTAAAATACATATTAAACACAAAAAATTTAAAATTTGTTAATTTTTTTAATTAAGTTTACAAATGTTAAGTCACAAGAATTTTTATAAATACTAATTTTCAAACCGTTTTTAAAAACTAAGAATACGACCTTTCTATAATTGAATTAGAAGAAAGTTTTGGTTTATAATTAGGTTATTTAGGTATTTTAGCAAATGCAAAAAGTGATGACTTTGATATATATTCTGCAAAAAATCCAATTATATTAGTAAATATGGAAAAGGAATAATTTTAGTATTAAACTACTCTTGCTATAGACGTTACATATAATTATTTATCAGTATTTAATGTTATTAATGGAGATTGTATTGCTTTTGTAAAAGATAATAAATTCGGATATTGTGTGATTGGCGTATCTACCAAAACTACATAAAGACAGACGATAATAAATAGTATAAATCATGAAAAAATAGAAAATTTATTTAAAATAATAACTTAAGAATCAGATAATAATATATTTTAAAAATTATCAAGTATGATAAAAATATAAAAAAAAAACAACATAAATATAATTATATAAAAAATATACATATATATATATATAAATATATATATATATATATAATAATATATTTATAATTATTATTATATATATTTATATTATTTTTAATATAATCTAGAAGCTAGAAAATATATTAATAATAAATAAAAATTATAGAATAAACTAATATATGAAAATAAAAATTAAAAAGCTCACTAAATTTCTGTAAAAAGCCTTATTCGTGTAAATAATAATTACTTTTCTAGTCTTTGTTTTGGAAATGAATTAAAAATATGGAATTGGAAAAGCGGAAAATTTATGTAGAATATATAATTCGAAGAAGACATTAGAAAGCTTGAAATTTCTTCTGAATTTATTCTTTGTTTATTTGATTAAGGTTTCTTTTTTTATAATTGGTTGACTTAAAAATGCAATTAATGTTTAATAAAGTAATAGAATTTGATTTTTAATTGTTTTTATGTAAGAAATAATGACATTGAAATCTTATTAGGTGCAAACGATGGTAATATATATCTATGTGAGTATAATATTAATGAAAAATCTTTTTTTTTTAACAAAATTTTCATGTTTTTTTCGCAAGAAGTTTCCATTTGTGAAATAAAAGAAATAAATTAGAACGAATTTTTAATTGGAAGTAAAAAAGGGAAGATTATTTACACTAAAAAAGATGATTTTTTACATATAATACAGGAAAATGACGACCAAGAAATCTTAAAAATGCATTATTTCGATGAAAGCTAAATTTTATTAATTCAAAAGGAATTTTCCTTATAATTTTTTAAATAAAAAGGCGAAACTTTTCTTCTAGATAAAAAATTTGACTTTAAAAAATAAAATATATAAATAATAACTTTTACTTAATTAAACGAATAAGAAATCTGTATTTCCTTTTCTCAAAAAAACCTAGAAATTTGGAACATTTTAGACTATGAAAAAGAGGAAATAATACAGGAAAAATACAATATAAATGCCATATAAATGCTAAATTCGGAAGGCTTTATATAAGGAGATGATGAAGGGAAAATAAAGGTATGGATAATAGGCTTTGAAGTTGAGGAAAAAAAAGAAAAATTATATACTATTAATGAATTAAGTGAACTTTCGGAAAGCTTAATTGAATCTGGAAAAATTAAGAAGGAATCTATTTATGAAAATTCAATTTAGTAAGATTTAAGGGAATTAAGTTAATAAAATGAAAAATTAAAAGAAGAAAATTTAATACTTTAGAAATAAATTTAATAGATTCTAAGTAATTAATAGTATAAAGATGAAAATATTTTGAAAGTTAATAGTTTATATAAAGAAATACATAAAAAAATAATATCTTTAAATTAATTAAAAGACGAAATTGCTCAATAAACTAATCCTATGATAAAATAAAGGGTTAAAGAACTAGAAAAATAAATAGAAAACTTATAAGAAGAAAATGAAAGCAAAAATCCGAATTTAAAAAATCAAATGAAGGTCTTAGAATAATAAATTTAAACTTTTTAAGAAGAACTAAATGCAAAAAATAATTAAATGAAAAATAATATAAAGGACTTAGAAATAGAAATATAGAATTTATAAAAAATTAATAAAAATTAATAAAATTTAATATCAAATTTAAAATAAGAAAATGAAAAAATATAAAATGAATACGAAAATATATTATAATAAAAAGAAAAAATAGAAAAAGAGAGCTTTAATTTAAATTAAAAAAATATATTCTTATAAAAAGAAAATAATGAAAATAAAATTACTATAAAAGAACTATAATAAAAAATATAAGAATATATAAAAAAAGAATAATAAAAAACATATGAAGATAATACTTTATAATAGAATTAAGTATAATATAAAAATATATACTAATATATATATATATATATATTATATATAAATATTATATATATATATATCTAATTTAAAAATTTAATTTTTTTTATTATTTAAAGACCTAAAAATAAATGAAAGAAATATTTTTAAATAAACTTCTCGAATTAAATTCAGAAAATGAAAAATTAAAAAAAAAGATTAATTAATTATAAAAAATAAATTAAAAATATGAATATTTATAGTAAAATCCAATTAATAGAATATTACATATAAAATAAAACTATCTTAATATTGAAAACAATTAAAACAAAGAAGATAATATTAAGCTTAATTAATCTATAAGTACATAAAATAGAAAGCAAGTGTAGAATTAATAAAATGAAAATTTAGAAAATAATATTTATACATTAAGTTCATGTAAAAATATTCTTAATAATAATTCTTTATTAAATTATTAATAAAAATCTATTTTTTTTGATTATGATTTTAATAATGATAAAATTTAATATTAAATATCTTAAAATATTAATTAAAATAATTAAGATATATGAAAATAATATAAATATATTTTATATACATATATTTCTATAAATTAATATCTTATAAAATTAAATAAAAAATATATTTATATATATTTATATATATATATATAAATGATTCGATTTCTTAAAAATTAATTCATTTAAATTAAATATAACGAAAAACCTATTCCTTAAATAAGTCTAGATTAAGTAAAATAAGTGTTATTATTAGAAACAAATCATTAAAATTTTCCAAAAGAATAAGAAAAAGTTGAAAATGATAATACATAAAACTAAGAATAATTCGTCCAAAAATAATTAAAAATGTTTAAATAATTATAAGAAACTCATTAAAAAGAGGAAGACGAGAAAATTCTCGAAAAAATAGATCCTATTTTTTTAAAAGAAGGCATTGAAGAAATCGAATTAATTGAAAAAATTTTTAATAAAATCAAGAGAAATGCCCCAATAAACAATTATTAGGAAATAATATAAATATTTGAAATTTAAAATATCCAATTAGGTTTAAAACTAAACGAAAATTGTATGAAACATTATGAAAAAATCGAATAAGGGTTCAATTTAATAACAGAAATCTAAAAAAGCAGTTCTATTTAATTATAAGAAGTATAATATACTAAAAAAACATTAATTTAAACTCAAAAAAATGTTGTTTTAAATATAAAAAATGTGATAATTTTAAAAAGAAAGATTAAATAAATATAAGTAAAAAAAGATACTCAAAATAAATATATAAATAAATATATATAATATAGATTGTTTTAAATACATTAAAAAAAATCTAATATGATTTTGGAGACATAATAAATAAAATAAAATAAATAGAAGAATAAGATTATTTGGTAGATTCTTTTTAAATAATTCCTTTTTTAGATATGGCAAAATAAAAAGCAATTTAATAAAGAGAAAATTAAGAAAGTTTGTTAAAATAATATAAATGTCTACAAAAAATTGAAGTTTTTATAGATAATAAAATAATTCTATGTAAAAAAAAATAGAAGAAAATGCTAAAAATATTATTATTTCTTTCGATAAAAATAAAACTTTGAATATAATTTAAAGTTATTTTTATTTAGAAAAACATTTTAAATAAGAAACTAAAAGTTATTAATAATTATATTAATAAAATATATCTTTTACTTTAAAAAATATTGTAAATATATATATATGAATATATATAAATATATATAAACATATAGATATAGATAAATATATTTATATTATTATTTATATATATATATAATATATGTATATATATATATATATATATTATATATACATATATACATATTTTTATTTTTATTTTTATATATTTTTATCTTTTTTAAAAAAATAGATTAATTTAGCTCTTTTTTAATTCAATTAAAATATAGATGAAAATTTTAATTATAATACAATTTAAAAAGATGATTTTTTATTATTTTTAAGAATCCTTTTTTTTTAATTTTGCGAATATATTTATAATTTCTAAAATATTATCAACTTCCATATTTAAACTGAATAAAATAAAATTAATTTACAAGTATTTTAAGACTAATCTTTTTTAGATTATTTCTTAAACATGAAAAATCTTTATATAGAAAGCAAAGTACAGTTATTGCAAGAAATATAAAAAAAACTATCATAAATAATTAATAACTCGACCCAATTATTATAATTTAATCAACAAAATTACTTTTTATTTTTAGAATACTCTAATATATTTATAGGAATAGGCGAATCTTTTGTTAATTCACATATATAAGAGTAAAAATATACAAATTTTATATATTTAATAATATATAAAATAAGATTATAGAATGCTATTATAGAGAAAACAAAAAAATATATACATAATTATCATTTAACAATTTAAATAGGAATAATAAATATTTTACATGGGGAAACATGGAAAAGACTTCCCATAATAAACGATGTCGAATTCGATTTTATAAAACAAGGAAAAATTAAATAAATAAATAAAATATAAAGACTAATGAAAAACTACAAATTTATTCCTATTTCTTTAAACGAAATAAATTTTAAACATGAATTTTCTATTTAAAATTATAAAAATGAAAACCTTTTTTAATTAGATAAAAAATAAGGATCTTTTTTTCGCAAATTTAATGTATATGAGTATATAATGTTTAAATAAATATATTTTATATATATATATATATATATATATATATATATATTATATACAGAAAAATGAAAATTTCTAATAGTTAAATTATGATAATATATAAATTAATTAAAAACAGGCTATTTTTTCAAATTCTTCTTTAAAAATTATTCAATGTTTAAATGATTATTTATAACTTTCGAATAATTTTAGATTTTGTATTGATTATATATTCAATTTAATTAAAGAAAATTTAATTTTAAGCATATATTATATTATAAACCATTTTTTGAATTAAAAAACAATAAATTAATTAAGTGAAAAAGAACTAATCTTAAAAAACATTTAGAAATTGGAAGATTTTAATTAATTGGAAAAAAATATAAATTTATTTTCATAAATAAATAAAGGATTATAAATAAGAAAAAAATACTCAAATTCGTTTTATTTATATATATAAATATACAATATTGTAAAGACTCTATTAATAAATTTATCCCTCCGAATTATATATAATAAGGATAGGAATATAAAGAAATTTTTTAAAGAATTATTGCTATTTAATCTTTAAATTATGTATTAGAAAATATTAGTTAATTAATTCCTGTACTTAAATAATTAGAATAATAAGAAGATTATAATATATAATTGTATTTTTTATGTATAAAAGAATTAAAAAAATTAGTTTTGTTCGACTTTGCACCGACCTTTTGCAGAGCTGAGTAGGTTTTTAATAGTATTTCAAAGTAAAAATGGGAACTAAATACTTTAGGAAATAACAATTATGTAGATAGGCTCTGTAACTTAATAGAAGATTTCAAAGAATAACTCAAATGTAGTGGCGGAGGATAGATTCCTTAGGAAAATTAAGAAGAAGCTTTAGAAATATTAATGGAATTTAATTTAAAATAATTACTTGAATAATATTCAAAAATACAAAAAGTATTATATATATAAATATAAATAAATATATATATATATAAAAATAAATATATATATATATTTCTATATACATAAATACATATATACTTATATTTTTATATACATAAATACATATGTACATTAATAATTTATATTTATTCTTTATTTATAATTTTATTAAAGATTAATGATATTGGAAGAAATTAACTATAAAAAGATTTTTAAATAATATGGAAAATTTTTAATTAAAATAATTTAGTTTAAAGGGCTTATGTGGAAGATTTTTTAAATATGACATTTTCTAATGATTTAGATGAATTATAAACTTTTATTTAAATAAATATAGTAATTTATATATTAAATTTTATTTTAAATATTAATAAAATTCTATTATAATCCTAATATTTATAAATAAAAGGAAAGATATCCTATTGATATTTTAATTGGTTTGGTAAGACTAAATAAAGCAGGATCTAATTTGTAAGGAAAAAATAAATAAAAGGAGTTTATATTGAATATATTAAATGAATATAAAAAATATTTTCTAAAAAATAATGTAATTGTTTGTTTTTGAAGTCAAAGCAATAAAGAATATTTTTTATCTTTTTATATTTTTTTTATATATATAAATAAATAAAAAATTTATATATATTAATTATTTTAATACCTTATACATAAAAACTATCCACAAAAAAAAAAATACAAATAAAAGCATAAATTTAAATAAAATAAATGAAATAAACATAATAATCATAATATTTATGGTTAACATATAAAAAAACAAAAAAATATAATAAAAATAAAAATATAAAGGGAAAATCAATTAACCGGTAAATTTTATTTACTGAACAATGAAACCGGATTGAAAACCTAAGTTCATAAGACTGGAGAATACATAAAAAAATTCAACGAAAAACTAACTGGCCAAGTAGGTTATAAAGAGCGTATAGAAAAAGCAAAAGAAGTAAATGAAAAAATACTTCAAAATAAATAAAAAAATATAAAAAAAGAATCCCGGATTTATGCCTTTTAAAGCTTATTCATTATAATATGACTAAAAAAAGTGTTTTTATACCCCATAAATGGATAAATTTGAGGGTTATGCATAATTTAGGTCTCCAAGAACATAACCTTATTATAATTAAGAAAAGGAACTTAAATTAAATTCTAAGAAAAGATTATAAGTAAAAGAATAGGAAAAGAAAATAAATTTAAAAGACGAAAAAAATAAAAGTTTATTTTCTTATTCAGGAACTAAAAAATTTAGCCTAGGTACGTCTTTTATAACCGGGAATATGACTGATTATTAAAAAAGTTTAAAAAAGAAAGAAATTCCTGTACTTAAATATATGTCTCATGAATAAAAAACAATAAAATTGAACGAAAATTTAAAAGGAACTAAAATTATTAACGAAAAGCTTTTATAGACACCAAATACACATTTATTAGAAAAAAAAAAAAAATAATAAAATTAAACATTAAATGAATCATTATCACCATAAAAAATTGAAAGTATATAAATAAAAAAAATATAAATAAATATAAATATTTATAAATTATTAAAAAAATAAAAAAATAAAAAAAAAATAAAAAATATTAATAAAATAAGAGAATATATAAATAAGTATTATATATGTATAAATATATATATATATATATATATATATATTATATATATATATATATTTTTATTCATATATATATAAAAATTTTCTTTAATTATATAATGAAAAATCAAAGTAGAAGATATTATTAGTAAATAAAGATATATTAATAAGGTATAAAGTATAAATTAAAAAACATTTCCTTTCAAGATTACTTCAGATGATATTTAAGATAAAATGAATGCTTTTTGTAATTTAGAAAATACAAGAACATAAAATATAGATTTAATGTATACTAGAATAGGAGGATTATAAACTAAAACATTCGAAAAAGATATTAAAATAAATTTTAATAAATATTAAAATGATTAATAAGTCAGAACATTGTAAGATATAGAAAAAGATTTATAAAGAAAAAAATAAGAATTAGAAGGATTTAAAGTAAAAAAGAATATATATATATATATATATATATATATATATATATATATATATATATTAAATAAAATAATTAAATATATAGTTACCGGATATATAAGAAAAAAATACAGTTATCACTAAAGGTCGATTCGGATTTAAAATTCCATCAGATTAATAATAATATAATGAAGGAAAAAGAATTATTATGATAAGTAATTATTTATTTTAATTAATTTTTATATAAATTATATTTTTTTAGATTATCCAGAAATTTATAAAGAAAAAACTAATAAAAGAAAAATAGAATAAGAAAAATAAAGAAGATTTTTATTAAAATAAGTTATAAAAGATATGATAGATTATAATACAAGGCATAAATTATGATTTTTTTTATTAAAATAAATATATAAAAAAATAAATATAAAAATATATAAATATATAATTATTTTTATATATAATTTTTTTTAATAATTATATATATATATATATATAATGTATTTTTAAATAAATTTTATCTTAAATATAATATAATTTAATAATATATAATTTTATTAAATAATATTAATTAGATATTATAAAATACTAAGATTTTATTGATAAAAATTAAAAAAATATTTATAATTAAAATAAATGTTTAGACTTTTTTCTAAAAAATATTCATTAAATCATTTTATTAATCCAATATTTAAGCAATATAGCATAATATAAACTTAAAAATTTAATTTTTCATCAGTAGATAATCTTAATAATTTAAACTAAAATCCATAAAATATCCAAAGCAAATAAAAACCATAAAAAAGTTAAGAATAATAAAATACTTCAGAAAATCTATAAGAATAAAAAAAGAAAGAAAGTTAAAATAAATAATAATGTAATAATGCATTTATATATAATAATAAAAAAAAATATAAAAATTTATATATATATATATATATATATATATATATATATATATATATAATATATATATAATAATACTACTTATTATAATAAATTAAAATTAAATTAAATTAATTAAATTAAATTAAGTTAATTATTTACTTAAATTAAATTATAATAATAATATTAATTTAATTACTAACTTAATTAATAATAATAATAANAACTAATAATAAATTAAAACTTAAAATTTAAATTTTAATTACTATAGTAGAATTAATAATTAAATTAAAATTTAAAACTTAAAACTAAACTAAACTAAAATAAACTAACAAACAACAAAAACAAAAACTAAAACTAAAAAAGTTAAAAAGTAAAAGTTAAAAGTAAAAATTAAAAACGTTAACGAATCATAAAATAATTTCACTAAAGTAAAAGTAAAAAAAAAAGAGAGAAAGTAAAATAAATAATAATGTAATAATGCATTTATATATAATAATAAAAAAAATAATAATATATAATATATATATATATATATATATATATATATATATATATAAATATAGAATCTTAATAAAAACGCTTTTAATTCAATTTTAAAGAGGAATCTTAAAATAAACCTTAAAGTCAAAAATAATTTGAAACTTAAAAATATTAAAAAAATAAAGACTTTGTTTAATAATAATCATAATATTCTTAAAAATATTAAAAACCTTCATATTAATCTCAAAATTAATAACAATAACTCTCTTAATAATAATAAAATCCATAATAATACTAATAATACCAAAACAAATCCTAATAATAAAGAAAATACGATGACCGATCTTCTTAAGATGTTCAAGAAGGTTTTTTTCTGAAAGAATTTTACAAAGAACATAAAGAATCACCATAAGAAAGCCAAACCAAAGGTATAAACAGTCATTAAGTAATCGATTAAAGGATATAAAGGGCTTAATAATATTCTAACCCTAATGAATATACACTTAAAATACTAATTGAGAGTTATGCTTTAAAGCATGAATATGATAAAGCTTTGGAAAGCTACAATTTATACAAAACGAAGAAATTTAAATCTAATGAAAGTTTGAAAAACACAATTTTCGAGTCATTATGTAAAACTGACGAAAAAATGGAAAAAATCAATGAATTTTTTATACAGGAATTTTCCTTAAAAAAACAACAAAAATTACTCTATAAATCAAATATTATAAATTATTTCAAAAAATTAAAATAATTCCCTTTATAAGAATAAATAAAAAACCTTAAATTCTTTGTTTCTTAATTCGAAAAACACTCTTTTTTCTAGATTGACCTTACTTTTATGTATGAACTATTCTAATTGGCTAATATTAGCTAATTTAATGCTTTATCTGATATACTAGCTGATTTAATGGCTTTGAGTAGTCCATCTGAAAATTATTAATTAACAATTTCATAAAAACTAAATAAAGAAAGCCTAAATCATCTCAAATAAATGTAATTTGAAGCCCTAAACTGTAAAGGAATTCTCAATTAATTATTAAACAATGGCTTCTATGATAGCTTTTCGAAATTAATTTACGCCATGAATAATTTAGGTCTATTTGAGTAATAAGAACATGCACAAAAACTAGTTTCTTTTGAAGACCTAATTACTTTTTCTTTAAAATCTTAGCAACCAGTATTCTTTTGGGTGGACATAATTGGAAAAATAATTGATTTTAACAAAAAAACTGACTACCTCTAATATCAATTAACTAAAAATATCATCTAAGACCCATAAATAATACAAAAATCGTTCCAAAAAAATGATTTAGATGAATTTTTTACTAATCTACATTTAATAGGTTTTAATAAAATAAATATATATATATATATATATATATTTATTTATTTATATATATTTATAATTTTTATTTTAATTTAGGCAGATTAAGTCATTCATAAGCCTTAGTATTAATGGAAATTAGTATACTCTTAAAATAGTATAAATATGTTATTGAATTACATGAAAATTACGAAAAATATACTGGTTTAAAACGCCCTTCTTTTTCTTACGAGAAATTAACTGATTCTATTTTAGGTTTAGTAGGTGAAAAAAGCCAATAAATAGAAAAGAGTAAAAATACAATTATGTAGTTTAGAAAATTATTAAATGAATGTGAATAAAATACTGAAAAAAAATTTGGTTTTTTGAACGAAAAACTAGGTGAAATCCGTTCTTTTATTTTAGATAAGAATTTCGAGGCAGCCTATAATAATTTCAACTAAAATTTTTTGCATGAAAAAGTGATATAATATTAAAAAGACAGAATTCATAATTTCCTCCTTCTTTTTTTTAAAGAATAAAACGATTCTGGTGAAAATACTCGCCAAGAGGAACAAATATAAGCCTTTGTAGATACACTAGAATCTAAATTTTTATACTAACAATTGTAAAATGAACGTCATGATTATTATTTAGTCAAAGATTTAGCAAATAAAGGCTAAAAAGCATACGAAAACTTAAAAAAAAAATATCTCAGTAAAGGAATACTACAGAAACATAAAACGAGAAATGAACTAAGGCATGTATACAATCGAAGACAGGCGAAATAATATAAATGAAACCTTAGATAAATACGAGCTTCATGTCATAAATAACTTCGAGGAAATTGACAAAGAATAAACCTTAAATAATAGACTAAGAAAGGTAGTATATGACGGTATGTTAAGGATAAAAATAATAAGGAGCAAATTTTTATAAATAAGGAGAAAAATCGCTAAATTAAAAGACTAAAAAATCGAGTTTACAGAAACTGGTACATATTAAGAATATTTAAAAGAATTAGAATATATAAAAATGGAAGTAAATAAAATACTTGGAAAGCCATCAAATTCTCCAGTTGATGTCAAATTATTATTCGAAAAATTAGTAGATGAAGATAAAATAGATAATCCTTCAGTTATTTAATATATTAAAAGAAAAGAAAATATACTCAAAAATAACTACTCAATAATAAAAATTAAAGGATTAAATTAATAAATTATATAAGAAATGCTTATCTATTATTAAGATATGTATTAAAAAGCAAATACTATTTCAAAAGCTTAATTAGATTAAGATTATGAATTTATTTATAAATTAATTTTATGGGGATGTGATACGAAAAATCCTTTTGGTAAAAATAATAAAATATTTATATATATATAAAGATTTAAAATTTATGTATATAATTAAAAATAATTATATATATAAATATATATATATATAAAATCTATATTTTTATTATATATATTAATACTATAAATACATATAAAAATATTTATATATATAGCTATTTATCTCGGAGAAATGTATTGTGATGTATGTTATATTCCTTTACCTAAAAATTTAATTGATATTATTTCAGAAACGTTAGATATATTTAATGATGATTTAGGTATGTAAATAATTAATTATTAATTCATTTATTTATATTTTTAGGATTTACTGAATAAGTAAGTTAAGCTTAATAGTTAATGGGAATTATTGATAGAGAAAGAGTTTATTAATTTTATAATGAATTTACTTAAAAACCTAAATTTGTTGAAATTGTTAATTAATTAGGAGAAAATCCATATTATAGAGATTAAGCTTCCTATATTTTATAAAGGGAATATGCCTAAAATAGATATTAAAAATATGGAATACCTTAAAATATTATTAATTAATATATAGCTAATAATAGTCAATGATTTAGATTTTTTTTTTTTTTTCTAAAATAAAAATAAATATAATTTTTTTTAAAAAAAATAAAATATTATTTAATATATTTAAATATTTTAAAAAAAATATAAAAAAGTTTTAAAATAAATAATTATTAATTTGATTTTTTTTTTTTTTTTTTTTAATAAAATAAAAATTTTTATATATAAAAAAAATAAAAAATTATAAATGAAAAATAGATATAATTTATTTTATTTAGAAAATTAGAAATAATTATAATAATAATTTTTTATATATCTTATTTATTTTTAATTAAAAATAAATTTTATATATAAAAAAATTTATATTGATAAAGAAAAAATAAATAAATATATAATAAATATATATAATATAAAATTAAATTTATTTATTCTAGAATGATATTTATTTATCATATTAAATATTATAAAAATAAAAATTAAATTTATTTATATTAGAAATCTTTTTAAATAAATTTTTTTATAAAAATAAATAATTAATACTAAAAATAATTAATAAATAAATAAATAAAAAAAAATATAAATAAATAAATATATATATATATATATATATATATATATATATATATATATATATACATTTATATTTCATTAATATTAAAATTTAATTAAATAAATCTTTTAAATAATTTTATTTTATTATTTATAATCTAAACTTTTTTATTATTAATAAAAAAAACGTAAAAACATTTCTTTTCAAATTAATTCAAAAATAAAAATATTTAATTTATTAATTATTTATGATATTTAAACAAAAACAAAAAAAACGAATGAAAATAGTCCCATTTCCAACTTTATAAAAAACTAAACTTCATTCCGAATATATTCAAAAAGGCAACTTAAAAGCATTCGAACAATCCTTAAACGAAAAAAAATATAAATATTTAAACTAAACAACATAAAATATAATTCGTATTCGCAGTTAAGACTCTTAACGTTAACAATCTCCCCGACGTCCTATATATTTTACGAAAGACCTTCATCCTAAACCCTTTTATGAGATACTTCCAGTCCACATTCGTGATTTTTATAAGAAAAAGCCTGATTTTATGGATATTTTTAGTGAATATGACCTTATAAAATCTTAATTTAGTCAATTAACTGAATAAATAACCTCCTATAGATACGAAATAGGCGAGCAACTATAATAGACAATTGAAAAAACAACCTAAATAATTCAAAAAATCCTTATGTAAACAATAAAACATTTTTAGTCTATATAAAAGACTTCCGAGAAGCAAATAGACGAAAATTTAAAAATGATAAAAAACCTCGAGTTTGAAAAAAAAGATCTTGAATGTAAAAATAAAGACTTGAAAACCCGTTATATAATCCAAGAATCACTATATAAAATAAATAAAATAAACTCCGATTCTCTACAAAAAGAACTTTTACTCCTCCACGACCTTTTAAAAAACGATGTTTTAAACATGATAAATCATTTAGGAAATTTAGAATAAAACCAAAATGCTTTATAAATAAAAGAAAACAACCCTTGTGAATTATTAAATTTAGATTTATTTAATTTCTAGAAATTTTTGGCACTTTTTGACTAAGAATAAGTCTAAAAAACTGCCGTATTAGGAAAAATGGGAGGCTTAATAAAAGCAATGTTATAAGGAATTAAATAAGATGCATTTACATAAGTACATATACAAAGAACATAATTAAATATATTAAATATATATATAATAGGTATAGGATGGTGAATTAGAATGGAATATATAGAAAATATAAAGTTTTTAAGAAAATAATAGTGTTTTTTAAGCTTCGTTTTTCGAAGGAGAAGTTTCTAGTATAAATTATTTAAAAAGCTAAAATAAAATACCTTTAGATTAAAATAATATGACAAACTAAGAAATATTAAAAATTAAAGAGTCTGAATTTTAATAAAAAAATAAAAACACAGAAAATACTAATATCAACGAAAATTGGAATTTGACAATAAACTTTATTGTTTTTATCGAAAATATATCCAAAAATAATGAATCTGGTCGGGTAATGTAATGGAAAACATTTAAAAATTTAATATTTGATATATATTAGTAAAGAATATAATACTAAAATGAAATAAATACTTCTTTAATTAGCCATAGTATGCCTTTTGATGAATTCGTTTGCATTTTTTTCCTCCAAAAACATAAAATAAGGAAAATCGCTGAAGGAAAGATATTCGAATTATTAGTTTCTTTAAGATTTTATATTAAAAACTAAACAAGAGCATTATACTTTTCACTTTTATGTAATTTAACAAAATATTATTATAATAGTAATGAAAATTCTAATAAATTCGATATTTTTGCATAAAATTTCTTCTTTTTTACATTTAAAATAATAATGAAATATAAAAATGTAGAAAATAAATAATATAAAATATTTATATATTTATATATATATATATATATATATATATAGATTATATATATATATATATTAAATTATGTAATTAGAATATTATTGAATATTAAGAGAATGAATATTTTTAATTAAATATACTTACATTAATAATTGATGAAATAATCTCTTTTTTTCAAGAAAATATAAAATAAAAAACATTATAAAAACTTTAAAAATTTTATATATAATAAGAAACTTAAGAAATAATTGAAATAGATAAAATTCTTGAAGTTATAATGGAAGAATATTTCGAACTAAAAAAAAAAAACTACCGAAACATCACTAAATAATTCTCTAAAGTATACGAAAATGAAAATGGTGTATTTTCTCTTGATAATATAACCTAAATAATAAAAGAATCATACTACAATGTCTAAAAAGTTACAAAAAAATATACTTTTCCTTCTATATTTACGCATACTAGGGTTTTTTTAAGAGCCCTTACTTCCACACATAATAAATTCGATGTAACACCCAAAGAATTTTTACAAGCAGTTTAAAAATACGGTTTAGATTGTCCTTTTCCTTTTGTTTTTATACCTGAAGATTAATAATATTAAAATGAGTTAAAAATAAATTATTTTTATTGGAAAAAAAAAAATATTTTTTTTTTTTTTTTTTTTCTTTTTAGATAAATACTAAAAAAATATGAATATAATTAATAAGATGAATTAAAACTAATTGATTTAACATAAGAAAAAAAAGAAAAAAGTACAACAAAAACGACTGTTATATTTAAAAATATAAACTAATAAAATATTCTTGACGAAAAAAAAGAAAACCCAAATATTCCTATATAAATTTAATAATCTAAAAATTAAATTAAAATAGATTCTACATCTTCCCTTTTTGCATAACATTTTAGTCTTTTAAGAGAAATAAGGGCTTATTGTAAAAATTTTAAGGAAGCATACCAAAATGAATCTAATGTGGAAACTTTGTGGGCTTAATTTGCTAATATTATTAATATTTTAGATGTAGGATGTCAATTTCTTAATTTTCCTATTAATATATGATTTTTTTGTGGATATATTTATATAATATATTAAGTTTTAACTTATTTTTTTCTTAGAAGATAATAAATTAATATATAAATATATATATATAAAATAAATATATATAAAATTAAAATATTATTAAAAATTAAATATGGAAAATTAAAACTAGTTTAATATTGAATTTAGTACAAAAAAGAAAATAGTAAAAATAAAAATTATATTTTTTATTTTAAATATACGTTTTAATATACCATAAATATTTGTCATTAAAAATATATAACATAAAGAATTATTTAAAAATGTATAAAATCTTAAACATTCTGCATCTGCAAAAAGCAGTCCTTTATTATATATAGACAGTCCTTAATTTGATAAAAATATATAATAATAAAGCAATATAGATTCAATATTTTAAAATTAATTAGAATGGTAAAAATATATATAAATATATATAAATTTATATATATATATATATATATATATATATTTATATTTTTATATATAATAAAAGTGTTGATATTATTGAAAATAATAGCGGAGTTTAACCTTAATTTATATTTTATATAGATTAAATAATCCCAATAAAATCTGTTGTTGATTTATTTATATAAATGTCAAACTAAAATGACTTTATATTAATTGAATAAAGCAAAAACTAATTAATAACTTTAAAATAGAATAATATTATTGTAAAAGATTTTTTATTTTAATGTATATTTACTCCTAATTTCGATAAATCAATACAAGCTTTTAAATTATAACTTTTTATTAATAATACTTCATAACCAAATAAAATTATATTGAAAGGACTCTTAGGAGTATAAATAATAAAAATATATAAATATTATTTATTTTATATTAATAAAATAAGAATTAAGATTAAAATAAATTATTTTTAAAAGAATTTAAAAATATACTAGAAAGTTCTAAAAAAAATCTATAAGAAACATAACAAGAAACTGAAATTAATTTATTTAAATATTTCATGACATTAAAGTATATATTTATATATATAAATAAAAAAGAGGTAATATTAAAAAATAAAATAGTGACTTAGATGATGACACAAATAATGAAAATTATGATCCATTTTTATTAGAAGCCACTGCATTTTAAGAGTTTTCTAAAGTTTTTTCATCATAAAATAACTAAATAGGCCATAAATTGTAACATTTTATCCAAAATTTTTCACAAAATACCACTAAAAACTCAATGTAAGAAATCGGCTTATTAGTAAATTAAATAACAAAAATGTTTAATTAATTAAAAATATCACAAAACTAATATACTGAACCATATTTCCAAATATCCTTAGAAAATTATTTATTTACAAAACTAAATAAGAGTTTATAATAGGTTTATATACAAAAAAGCATAAAAAATGAGTAAATATTCCAAGAAAAAAAGCAAAAAATAATACAGAAAATGTCTATTTAATAAATATTTTAATTTTTAGATTTAAAGCAAAAATATTGGTTATAAAAAAACTAAAATGAAAAACCCTATATCGAGTCTATAAAATAACTAGAATTAATTACATAAGTAAATTCTCCAAAAGAAAAACTTAAAAATTGTATGCTAATGTAATCTAATATGAGAGCCGCAGTTATTGATTATCATAAAGGAAAAGAAGAACTTTCTTCTATGGATGATGAATTGCCAGTTCTTATTTATATAATATTATTTAGTTAAATTCCATTTATTTTCGCGTAACTATTAATTATAGAAGATTATGTGTGTATTGATAATACTTATGAGGCTGAACTAAGATTTATAACTAATTTAAGAGTATATAAAAAATTTAATTAAATAGAAATATTTAAAAAATAAATAAAAAAATATAATAAAATTAAATATATATAAATTTTTATAATTATACATAAATTTTTATATATATATATACAAATATATATATATATATATATATATATAATTTTATATATATTTATATTTTTTTATAGGTTGCCTGCGAATATGTATCTAGAGAATGGGATATATGAATAAATAATTTAATATAATTTATAAATATATAAAATTAATATTTTGTTTTATTTTTTTTTTATAATAAATAAATAAAAAATATTTTTATCTGCTATTTTTTTTTTATGAGAAAAGTTTTTATCAGAAAATATGATAATTATGATAAAATAAATGGGTAAAGAAACCATAGAAATATTCCAAAAATATTAGACACATACCCAATGATAATAAATTTAGATGCTATTGAAGAAAACATAGTATTTTTTTAATAAATTTTTTAAAAAAAAACACATAGGAAGACATTTAATTATATGATAAATAACATATTAATTATTATTTGAAACGAAATATTAATGAATAAAAATAAAAATTATTTGATAATAAATATGATTAATATTAAGAATAAAACGATAAAAATTTTAATAAATATATTCAATAGTAAATTTTAAGTTTAAAAAATATTAAAATTTTTATTTTTAAAAAAATAAATAAGAATAAACTAAAAACTATAATAAAAATAAAAAAAATTGAAAATTCAAGCCTAAAAATCAAACGAATTATTAGTTAATTTATATATATATATATATATATATATATATATATATATATATATATATATATATATATATTTTTGTTTCAAAGAACTATGTTTTTTCAAATGATTTTAATAAAACAATTAAATAAGTTTAAAATATAAACCATTATGAAGATAAATAAATACTAAATAAATAGACATAAAAAATTATTGGATTATTTAAAGATAAAAATTAAATATATTCTTCTGCATTTATTAAAAATAAACTATTAAAATATTCGTGATTTGATTTTAAATTTCCAATTAAAAAATAAATAAATATGAAGTTTTTTTTTTTTAAAAAAAAAAAACTATATATATATATATATTTATTAATTTAAATAATAAAAATATAAAAAAGTTTTTTTTTTTTTTACATAAAATCTATAAATTTTTTAAAAATAATAATAAAAAAAAATTAAAAAAAAATGTATTAAAAAAATATAGAAAATCTAGATGATTAATAAATATATATAATATAAGATTTACTAAACGTAAAAAATTAATAAAAATAAAACTAAAAAAATATATAGAATACTCAAGACTGGAAAAACCCAACTGACCTAACTCGAATAACTCTAAAATCATTTCTTGACATAATAAAAGCATAAACAGATAAAATCCATAATATCGAAAAGCAACTTTAATAAAAAGTTAAAAATTAAAATACATAAATATAATTTATTTTAGGCATCAAAAATAGAATTAAATACCTAAATATTACAAAAAGTCAATACAACTGATATGACACGTTTATTAAGTCAAATATAAGAAAAAACAGAATAAAAAGTTTCATATGAACACTTCCATTAATGTATGAAAGACACAGTATAAAAATCTGAGCTTTAATTTCATTTATCAACTAAAATAACAATTGATGAATTTCGTGAAATTCTCTAAAAGTAAGATTTATCGAAAAATATTTAATAATAATTCGAAAATTTCGAGTAAGAAATAAACAATAATTTACAAAAAAACCTCGATTTTTTCAATTAATAAATTAATTAAAAAGTAAATATTTAAGATTTATCTGAACTTTTAGAAAACAAAGCAAATAAAAACGCTTTATAAAGAAAAGTTAATAAAAACGAACTCGAAATGTATTCAGATAAACTTTTTTAAGACTTAAAATTATATACATAGGAAGAATCATCATTATTGAGAAATCAAATAGAAAAAACTAAATACGAACTAGAATCTTTTTCCTAAAAAATAACGGAAAAAAATGATTAAATATAAAAATAAATTGAAAATATTATGCTTTATTAAAAAAAAGTAGTTGATTTTGATTAAATCCAATCTTTTCTTGACTAAAACAAATTCGAAATTTTCCAAAACCAAAAATAATTCTAAAACAAATTTTAAACGGAAATAAATTTTCAACTAGAAAAAAATTTAAATTCTTAATTAGAAAAAATAAACACTGAAATAAAATAAAATCAAAACGATCAAAAAAAATACCTAGAAGATTTTTCATAAAAACTAAAATAAAAAATAGACCTTTAAGAAGTCTAATAAGCCCTAAACATAACACAAGCCGATATTTCTGCCCGTTTTTTAGAATTTAAAGACGAAATAAAAAAAAGGCTTGAATAAATTCCCTATAAGACTACCGAAAACACACAAAAAACAGAACTTTTAGATTTAAAAATAAACGAAAAGCTTTCCATAAATGACTTCGAGAATTATTTACATTAAACTAAATAAATACACGAATAAATTGAAAAAGAATTAATATTAAAGTCTAATATAAAAGACGTTCTGACATTTTTAGATACGAAAATTTCTATAGAAGATTTTTCCAAAAACCTTTAATTAATACACCAAGAACTCGAAAATAAATGTAATTTAATAGATTTTAATAATCTAGTGAATGACTAAGCTATTATAAACGAATCTTTATGTACAGAAAATATTGTAGGTAGATGGACTTGGAAAAGTAATAATCTTAAATAAGGAAATATAGTTCCTTGGGAAAGTTAAGTTAGTAATACTTTACCAGATAACTTTTTATGGGAAAAAGATTAGACTTTTGTTATTTGTGTAACGCCAGGTTTATATTAGGTATAATGTGGATTTTTTATAGGAAAAAAAAAGGGATAGGTAGTGTAAATCTTTGTCAATAATTAATGTAAAATAATAGCAAATAATGAAAATTATGGAGTATAAAAGTAAAAAAGATATTTATTTTATTTAAATTAAATAAAATATAAATATTTATTTATTTATTATTTATAAATATATATATATAATTTTATATTTAATTTATTTATTATTATTGATTAAATTAAAGAAATAAAACTGTTAATAAAAGTATTGAACTTGAAAGTGGTAATTAAAGTGGTAATTTTAGTATATAAATTCTTATATTTTATTTATTTATAAATATTATTTTATATATATATATATAAATATTTATTTTATTATTTTCTATTAAGGTATTACTATTAATGAATTTCTCGTTCTTTCTGAAATGTCTAAAATTATCATTGTTTATGAAGGTGATTAAAATTCTGAAGGTTTTTTAGGATTAAAAAGACTTTGAATATATTTTAATTAATATGTACAAAAATAAATTTTATCTTTTTTAAAATATATTTTTTATATATATATATATACATATAAAATTAATAAAAAGTTATTATTTTTTATTCTTATATACTTATATAATAAAGGTTTAAAATTTATAAATCTTATAATATAAATGGAAATTTAAATATATATCAGATATATTTAATAAAATATAATAAATAAATAAATATAATTAATTAGATTTTATACTTAAAAATAAAAAATTATTTATAAAAAAATATATGTATATTATATTTTCAAATAAATATAATTATTGCATTTAAATAAAAATTTATATGATTTAAATATATATTTCTAATCATATAAAAATATATTTTTTTTTCTTAAAAAAAAAAACCTATTATATTTTAAAAAAAAAAAAAAAAAAAAACTAATATATTTATATATCTATATATATTTTTTTTTTTTTAAATAAAATATATGTAAAAAAGCGATATTTTTTTTTTTATACTTCTAATTATTCTTTATGTATTTTAAGGAATCCTTCTTACTTTTTTTCTCATAACCCTTCCTATGTTACTAATCGAACGTGGCCTTAAAATATCCGAAACTGCCATATTTACTATAACAGCCTACCCTTACAATTTAAAGCTAATATTCGCCCCAATAGTAGATTTATACTACATAAAATAGCTCGGTAAGCGTAAAACTTACATAGTCTTATTTTAATATTTATGTAGTTTACTATTACTAATACTCTCGTATTACGTAAAGGACTTATTTTAGAATTTTAGAATCAATACACTGGCCACTATAGGATTTTTTTTAATATTATTCATAACTTTCCAAGATATTGCAGTTGATGCCTGGGGTATTAAAATAATTTCTCCGTAAAATCTATCTTATGTATCATCTACTTAGAGTATAGGCATGTCTGTTGGTTTTTTGATAGCTAATTCTATATTTATTCGTTAAAAATTAGACGAGTCTCGATTTTTGTTTTTTTTCGGATTTTTTATTTTAATAATAACTGTCATAATCCATTTCTTTATTCAAGAAGAAGGCTTCAATAAAAACCAAGAAATTTAAAAAAAATCGAAAGAATATAATTTTAAGTAGATCCTGTCTGCAATATAGGGCTTTTATACAAATAAAAATCTCAAAACATTAATTATAATCGCTTTATCATAAAATTTAGGCACAGGTCCAATGACTGCTACATTCTAACTAAGAATTTAGCAAGCAGGTATAACCAAAGAGAATATATCTTCCGTTTCATTTTACATATTTCCTCTAAAATTAGCCTTCCCTCTACTAATTGCCTACTTCCTAAAGAAACGCTTAAATAATTAATTCTAAAAGACATGTCTATCAATACATATATGTGTTTAAATTTATCAATTTATATTCTATTAAATAATTTAAACTGGTTTATTAGACAAAAATTCATATATTTTATACTTGTATCTCTTCACAATCTAACTAAGCGACTAATTTATCATAATATTAATTTTCATATCAAAAAATATTTTGTATTAGAAAATAGCTCATATAGGTCTAGAAGGGCTTTTCGTGACTATGTTAAGTTCAGTTTCTAATATAGGTAAAAAATGGGTAATTTTATTTTTCTAGTATTTTAATGAAACTTACAATTTTAATTTGATTACAATAATCTTATGGATTTATCAAATATTTTACATCTAATTTACGTTTAAAATATTTAAAAAATTAGACAACTTAGATGAAAGTGAATGGAGTTTAGAAAATGATAAAAAAATAAAATGAAAATTATTTTTAAAATAAATATATAATGTATATTATATATATTATACATATTTATATATTTAATATTTTTTTTTTGTTCTTTTTTTATATTTATTATTTCACTCATTTTTTTTTTTAATATTATTTAAA